GTCTCTATCACTTTGTCTGTGGCCCGTCATCCGTTCCAGTGCAATCATTAAACACAATGTCAGTCCTGATGATATTGATCAAAGCACCACTGCAGTTTTGATTTAGTAAAATAATTATTAGTAATGTATTGTGTTAATATAAAGGAATGTTCCGTATTGATTTGTCACAGGTCTTTTACCAGTATTTTGAATTGCACATAGCATTGTCTTCTGTTTTGGGGTTGAAGGAAATTTTATGACCATTACCATTTATGTTTTTGATTTTAATGTATTTATTTTACAGGAAAACATAGGTGCTATATATATATTTGAAATAAGTCTCTTATGCTCACCAAGGCTGCATTTACAATATGGGATCAAAATGCAGTTAAATGGTAATAATGTGAAATATTATTACAATTTCAAAACAACTCTTTTACATTTGAAAATATGTTAAAATGCAATTTATTCCTGCAATAGAAAAGGTTAATTTTCTTCAGAAATCATTCTAATATGCTGAATATGCTCAATGAACATTTCTTATATAAAATAAAGTTATATAAAATAAAGTAATATATAAAATTGTGAAACGTAATATTTTAAGTTAACATGTATTTATTTATTTATTTTAACAACATAGCAAATGTCACTTCTGCATCATTAATAAATAAAACTATAAATTACATTAAAAAATCTTACTTTTTAAGTCTAATTCACTTACACCAGTCTAATTCTCACTTTTAAGATGAAGAGTTCAGATGCAAAAGCCTCTAAATGCCATTTGAAATTTTCTTCTTTAATGATGATTTTTTATTAAACTTGTATATTTAAGTTCAGTAATTTCACTTAAATAACAATTAATAGGTAATTATCATTGCCATTTAAGTGAAATCACTGAACTTAAATATACAAGCTTGATAAAAATCATCGTTAAAGAAGAAAATTTCAAATGGCATTTAGAGGCTTTTGCATCTGAACTCTTCAGATGCTTATTAGCATGCATATGACTAATATTGGCTTTTTATTAGTACTTATGAAGCACATATTAATGCCTTATTCTGAATGGCCATTCTACAATATTCTACATCCCTTAAGCATACCTAATACACAAACTTAACAAGTGCCTACTAACTATTAATAAGCAGCATTTGGGAGTTTATTGAGTCATAGTTAATAGTGAGAATTGGACCCTAATCTAAAGTGTGACCTTAAAATGCCACACATTTATCTGGGGACAGTTTAATATGGCACAATAGCCACTCAGTGTGCTATTGAAACTGTCTTTTAAATGATTTTGGAGATTTTGTATGGCAAATTATATAACTCGGTCTGCAATTACACTTTCGTGATGTAATGTCGCTTTGACTTTCTAGCAGAAGTCAACTTGAGCTCCCAGGCTCGACAAACGTGTGCATCGATGACGCATATTGGCCGCAAAGCACCCTTGCGAGGACCCTTCTGAAACCTAAATGACAAATGGGACATGCTACGGTCTTGTAGACTTAACGGACACGCACACATGGCAGTGTAAGTGCACAAACCGCAAGTGCAGATGATGTGTGACATTTGAGGACAGGGCCAAAGCGTTGCCCATGACTGACACCAATGGACTGTACAGAAGTATTTCATTCAAGATGTTATAACACCAGAAGGCGATACCCTATTTCAACAACTAAGCTCTTTTTCTCTAGCTTTAAAAAGCAATTGTACAAAGTCAAGGTTTATTTGTAGATTAAAGAAACCAAAATCAAATCGAGTCTAAAACTGCCCCAAACAATGGAGGCAAAGCGCAGCGTCACACTCAATCACATAATGGATAAATGTTTTTCAGGGCTCAGCAGGAAGCGTTAGATTATCATCGCTGGCCAGAACTAAAATTTTACGAGATAACTATACAATGAATCAATAGTCTAGACATTAAACGGTCACTTCATTTCCTGCTTCATAAACACCTGCTGTACATGAACAAATGTGTGGAATCCTAATGCTACTGGCCTGCTGAGCGGTTTGCTCGTTCGCTCTCTCTCTCTCTCTTTCTAAATCAATATGCCTTTAACCCATGTGTATGAGTCACAAGGAAATAGCTGTCTCCCGCTGAAGCCGGCTGGGAATAAGTCAAGAAAGAGCAAGCGTACCAACAAAGAGTTTAACGTGTCATTTTTCACGGTTGCTAAGCCTCCTTTCAAAGGTCCTGAACTCCAAATTCACAAAATTGCCAAGTTATTCTCTTTTGCCAAAGTCCATTTTGACAGCTTGACCTCACTAGATGTCTATAGATTTCTTGTTTTTTTTTTTACTGTGAATTCATTGCATTTTTTAAAGGGTGTGTTTAGGCCTTCATCTTTAGTACTGCTGTTGAAACAGAGCAATGCTATTAGCAGAAGAGCAGAGAAAAGAGATATCATGGTGAAACGCTTTGGTTTCTTCAGATAGACTACTAATACCACTAATGCCGTATAATCCCTGACTAACTGTAGGTACGGCTCACTCAGAACATGTCACTGATCTCACACTGGTCAAAGCACTGCCTTTTTTTTTTTTTTTTTTTTTTTTGAGCGAGAGAAATACTGCACACACACACACACACACACAAAAAAAAAAACAATGTCCACTATCAGTTTATGGCAGAGAACAGGATTTACATGGACTGGCTTGCAGATATATGAAGCAATTTCAAAAGGGGAGACCAAAAAAAAAAGGAGAAAAGGAAAGAGACAGGCTGGGAAGAGCATGTTGTATTATAGCATAAATTGGGGGAATTTCTCTCTCTCTTTTACTCGGAAGATAAAACTCCAGTCACAGCACTAATCTTTTGGTAATTTACACAAAAACTTTTACCAGCATGTCTCTCATGGTGCGATTAGCAGAGGGATTTATTTTGTATTCGCCGCCACTGGAATTAATATCTAAATCTGGCGGAACCAGTTGTGTCAGTTTGAGCCGATAAAGGGAAATATGTCTCTGCTAGATTGCTTGCTTTCCCTCCCTCTTTCTCTCTCTCTCTCTCTCTCACACACATACACTCTTCCCTGCAATTTCCCCTGTTCATTTTGTTTTTTATGTTTTTTCCACTAGTATAATGATTTACATTTATTAGATGGTTCTTGTCTGTTGGATCTGCATGCGTTTATTTTAAGGGCTGCATTTGCGTCAAAGCCACAGCAAATCTCATTCACAGCACTAACACCTGTTTGCATCAATGCTATTAAATGGCTTTCCCCAAATTTTGCTCAGAGGTGTTGAGGAAAGATGCACTTACTCGTGCAGTTATGATGAGCAGCAGATGAGGCTTTACATATCAAAGATTTTTAGGGTTTAGTTTAGAAGATCAAACATTGCATACCTATAAGAAGATAGTTTATAGTATTGAGGGAATTCATTGACGTCACTTTCCTGCCGGAATAACCCCCCTCAGCCTGACTGAGTGGCAAAAGATCTCCTGCGTGACTGGATTTAATAAGGGAAACTGTGAAAACGCGACTAAAATGAACAATTTTATCAATTTAAACTAAATGTTGGACTCAATATAGTGTTCCTTACAAATTACTAAAGATCCAGTGATCCATGGATATTAACATGCAGCCAGGAATCGTGTTGCCTGACATTTTTGCCTGATTTCAACACCGGGTAAATGAAAGCAATATATACCTAAACATAAATCAAATTTGACTGTGAACACTTTATATAAATACAATATAGGTAGGTCTAAATCCGGGCTGATCACTTATATCAGTATTATCGCCTAATACATATCAACATATCGTCCAGCCCTAAAACTATAGTTTTTTTTTTTTTTTTTTTGGTCAGTGTTTATTAAAAAAAAACATTCACTAATGTAGAATATGCAATGATAAATATTTAATTGATGAGTTGTTAATATATCAATACAAAATATATGGGTATGGTTTTCCAGCTAAATTCAGCATATTGACACAAAATGATAACTGCAAATCCACCTTTCGCTGACTGAAGTCCAGTTGTTTCTGTAAATTGCAGCGATCCATTCTATCTATAGCAGGCTGTAAAAATATACCTCAGATTTTTCCAATCTAGTTGTACAGTCAATCACAAAGCTCTTTCCCACTTTACAGTATATGTGTTGTGTTTGTTTTTCGTGGCATCACGCTGAAAACAAATACAGCCGCTCAGTCTTTTTGCCACTCACTGTGAGTAACTGCAGGCACTGACGGTGACGTCAAGCTCATTCCCTCTATTAAATTTCACAATCCACTATTATTATTCCAATACAATTGTCTCTTTTTCTGATATTTTGGCGAAACCAACAAAAGTATCATTGATCAATCTTCATGGCACTGCAATTAGTAACAATATAATGAAATAAGTGACAAATCTTTTCTTCCGTATTGTGCCATAAGTCAGAGGTAAAAAAAAAAAAAAAATGCAGGGCAGAGATTCAGTTCACAGTTGATTGGATGGATTTGCTGAATGTGATCTTGCAGCCAATTGTAAGAAAGGGGCTGAGTTTAAGTAAATGATTGGAGAATTTTGGCATGTGTCACCAGAGAAAAGTCTGTTAATTGCAAGATCAAAAAAAAAAATGTAAACATGCCTGGATGAGTCATTCATAATAAGATTAATAGCATGCAATAGATTTTCATTTCATGCTGACTTCAATATTTAAAGTATAATGACTGATAAACTGTCCCTGACAACAAATCTACAACACTGTGGTAGTTTTATGTCTGTTTCACTCCACGCTGCATTTCATCTCACATGGTGGAATAATTTAAAGTCAATATATCATGCAGATTTATTTATTTAAGTAGCTGTTAAGTGTGATAATATACAGTAGGCCAGCCATCATTGCAAAATAAACCTCCACAAGGCCAGATTACTGTAGTACTGTATTCTGCTATGCAAGTGTGATAGTTACCCCTAATTTCTGCAATAATATTATGGCATGTTTATGGATGAAAGTATTTAAAATCCAAATCATGGAGATCACTTTTCAACAGGTATCTCGCCAAGGTCGGCTTCCTTTGCTTAACTCAAAGACTTACCCTCAGTGCTCGTGTCCACCAGGAGCCCCATCATGGTTCCAGCCAGTGCCCAGAATCAGCAGGATGGCTGCTGCTCACTCTCTTCCCCATCACTGTGCTCTGAGCTGGGAAAGAGAAACGAGGAGGTGGGCCAACAGCAGGAGGAATCACCCCCGGGGAACAGAGGGAAAAGTGGGTTGCATAATGATAGGTCTGGTTGTATAATGATAGGGATATGTGTGTGAGCCGTTGAATTTCCAAAAGCGAATCTGCGAGTGACCACCGTTGCAGACAAATGACGACATGAATATTTTTTCAGCCACGATTATTTGAAATGACTGTATCACTCAGTGACTTTCATTAAAACCTCATTCCAGCATGCATGCTTGCATACACAGGGGAGACGCTGAACTGAATATCTGGATCTACTTGAGGGAGTACCTCTACATATTCCTGGCATCCTGGGACCTATTTCCATAGACTCCACATCAGCTGCCCTATACACAATGCTGGGCACATTAATGTTTAATGCAACGTAAAAAAAAAAAAAAATGAAAAAAAAAAAAGTAGTTCTACTTTAGAGCACACAACCATAGCAGTGAGACCGGTCCAAGCTGCTTGCGCTTATAGACACAGCATGACAAATTTGCTCACACCTCAGCTCAGGAGACCCTATTTAGTAACTAACCACTAATGCCGAAAATGATATATCTGTGAAACATAGCATTTAGCAGTTATCGTTCACTGAATGTGAGCGGTGTGCGCCCAGGATTTTTATATATATATATATATATATATATATATATATATATATATATATATATATACTGTATATATATATATATATATTTAAAGACTGTGAGATGCAAGAAAGTACTGCTTCCCTAGGGATACCATCTGCTTAATCTTTTATCTTATTTTTCATTTGAAGTCATATTTTGAAGTCATATTTTAAAGCCTTTTTACAGGTTTGCATTTACAGATATCTAGTAATCACATAAATCGTTTTGTACCCTGCTCGTTTAAAGATGTGTGAATGTATTGGTTATATTTCTGTATTTATTTTATTTATTTTAACTACTACATTTATGTCCATATGTACATTTTATGTCCTGTGAAGCGCATTGTGCTACGCTGTTTAAAAGGTGGAATATAAATAGAAAATGATTATTATTATTTGTGATTGAAATATGTAAAATAAGTGCACATTTATTTAAATCGTATTCATCATCATTGTTTTAATGTGTAAAACTATAAATTGTACTGGTAGCCTATCTGAAGGTATGAAAGTGAAGAAACAAACAGGCTTATATAAGTGGAACTGTCTGTGAGATGACTCAAGCTAAAATATCCCTTCTTGGAAATAACTGCAAAACACATCTTTATATCTGAGGAATTCTCGGAAGGAATGAGGAAGGCAGCAGATGCTATTTTCTTTGTGAATGACTGGATTATTTGAATCTGCTGGTCTTTAGCTTTCATTATGACACAAAAAGAAAAGAATGAGAATCAAAAGAGTAAAGAGCTGGACAATGCGTCATGATTGCCATGAATGAGGAAAAGACCACAATTTAAGCTGTAGTTAATCTTAAATGGGGGCAAATTGGTACTTTTAGACATGTACGTAATACCAGGTTTGACATCATTAATAGCAAAAGCCACTGGTTCTCATGTCTAATGTGACTGAACATAATGTGACAAGCTTGAATATGCAACTGCAATCTTTCGAGCTACAGTATTAGGGCGACATTTTTAACTAGGCCATCATGATAATGGCTTTTACTGCATTATCGTGGCTAAAACAATTCACAATAAAATAAAATAAAAATCAACAGCTTTAGCAGACTGGGGTGTCCAACATCAAAGATAAAAAAAAAATGTTTTACGTGTAATCTCCTCTGATTATACACCTTCATCTTATTTAATTTTATTTAATTTTATTTTTTTCTGTTTTGTGATGGGTGAAAACAAGGGTTAAAGGAGAACTCTGGCGCAAAATGAACCTTTGGTCTAATAAAACATCGGTACCTAGTCAATCGTTCTGTGAGATTTGTTTTCATGATAGTCGAATGTAAAGAGTTTTATCTCTAAAAACTGTTTAGCGTATAATGCTAGTACTGGGGGCATTTACTTAGTAAAAATAAATCACTAGTTTATACCACTAACAAGGCTCAAAATAGCCCCACACTAACACAGTAACATGAGGGTCCCTACATGCAAAACAAAGCATTGAGAATTTTGTAAGTGTACAGACCGTTTAATAAGAAGATACTTTGTAAAGACAGTCCACTTCTTGTATACAGACAGAAGCCATCTTAGAATATATTCTCGAGGAATTCTGAGGAATTCTCAGAATTCCTTGAGATAATTCGATCCCCGAACGCCGTTCATACAGTTCAGAAGTTCGCTGAACTTCATACAGTTCAGATCACTCAGCACGACGTTAGTGGTTTGACTTATCGAGACTATTTTTTAAGATGGCTCCGGTCTGTATACACGAGGTGAACTGTCTTTATAAAGTATCTTCTTATTAAACGGTCTGTACACTTACAAATTAGCGCCTTGTTAGTGGTATAAACTAGCGATTTATTTTTACTTAGTAAATTTCTAGCATTATACGCTAAACAGTTTTTAGAGATAAAACTCTTTACATTCGATTATCATGAAAACAAATCTCAGAGAATGGTTGACTAGATACCAATGTGTTATTAGACCAAAGGTTCATTTCACCTTTAAGGTGCAATAGACCACATCTTAGAGTGTCAACTAGATTGAGTCATGTTGATGGATTATTTACAATCTTATTATGTGTAGTATTAACATGCTATCCATATTTAATTTATATATATATTACGGTTATCGTTAATACTGGTATAAAGTGACATCTCTATTTTCATCTTGATTCACAAAAGTACGGTTCTCACAGAATACTTGGAATATAGCAAACTGGTCCATTTGGGATACTTTTATGGTGTTGCGTTTCTCATTTTTGGAGCGTGACAGCCCTGGTTTTCATTCACTACAATGCATGAAAAAAGCAGTTTCATCTCAACTTGTGTTTGATGGAAGAATACAAGAAAATAAATTTAGGTGAACTATAATTCAGTGGGCTAAGCCAAGTGACTGCAAATAGATGAAATAAATAAATAGATTATTTAACTGGAAATTAATTGATTATTTAACTTCCCCAAGATGCTTGGCCTTGGCAGAGAACTTGTGGGATTTTCTGTAAACATCTGTTTTATAAACATCATAAAATAAAATAATGCATGTACTGTATATAAGTATGTATGTATGTATGTATTGGAAATCTGAAAATCTTCACCTTTTTTTCCCAAGGAGTGGCTCAGTATTTCTGTGGTATCAGCATCTGTATCTATCAAACTATTTTTTTTTTTTTTAGACTATAATGTAACATAATAACTGTCATCGTCAGGACAAAGCCACCTCATCATCACTGCCAAATCCTTCCTCTGATTTCAAATAACCTTCACTTGAAAATATCTGCTACACGGTTTACAAGGTATCTGTGCTGTTAGTGAATGTCCTCTATAGGCCTAACTGGAACAGGTTTCCCTGAAGGTCCAACAACGATTATATTTTATTCAGCCTGAACAGTCGAGGGAATAGTTAAGCTTGCTGCCTCATTTTACTGCAGGATTCAATGAGCATTACTTAGGGCAGAAGTCCTTTCCACCTTTCTTTTTCTGACAAATAGCAATGGCCAGTTATCATCTGATTCATACATGCACAAGTGGATTCCCACACATTGGGCAAACACACACACACACATTTACATGGAAATCCTAGCCCTGTGTGTTTGTGGGAGACAGGACAATCATGGCAACACAGTCCATCTGGTGGAGTGTAAATCCACCTAACCCATACGAATACATAAAACACAACATGTTTCTGCATTCCATTCATGTTCTTCTAAAAGCAGCTGTAGCACATTCGTTCATCTAAACAAAGCGAAATCAAATAACCGTTTGACAACACACAAATACCACAATTCTTCACCTGTACACATATTCGCACACACGCTGTGACATACAACCCAGCATTTTGCTTCAATGTTCTCTTTATACCTTATCTGCTAAGAACAATGGAAGTGTTTGCTGCAGCAGCAGCAGCAGGATCAAGTCGGACTTCGACTGTATTCTTCATACTGTGGTGCAACAGAGACCCCTAGTGTATGGAGAACGAAACAACAATCTGGATCAGGGGGGAAAGCATGTGTTTATATTTTACCTCATAACCTCACATTTTAGCCCAGTATAGAACTCTTTGAGTGTCATATTATATACACCTGAAAACACAGACACAACTTAATACTTGCATTTCCTACACCACATAATATTAGCTTTATTGCCCTTAGTTGATTAGTTTTCACACAAATTTGCATCTATTCATTAATATGCACATATTACCTAAATTAAACAAGAGCTCCCTGCTGCTTTCCGAGGCTTGTGCTTGCTCTCCTTCCGCCACTTTCCGACTCTTTCATTAAAATGGAGTTCAGCTAAATGGTCAGAATGAATCTCAACCTCCTCCTTTTCCCCTCCATTTAAGAAAATCTCGTTCCTCTCTCTATGCCCTGAGGTTTTATCGCTTTCCCTTTCTCTTTTTTTCTCTCTCTCTCTCTCTCTCTTTGCCTGCAGGTCCCTTCAGTAGATTAAGTTCAGCGTGGCTGTGAGACAGAGCGTTGCTGATTCAGCCATATTCTTCCAAATGACCCAAATCCTCTCTCGCTCTGGAAGAACCTCATTCGCTCGCAGATGACTCTCTCGCTTGCTCAACCTCTTTCACCTTCTGTTCTCCCTCTTCTATTCTTCAGCCGCTCTGCTGATCTTAGTACGTTAAGCTGTATACGTTTCTCTCTCTTTGCTGATATTCACTGTCAGTACTCCTCCTACACAGCAAACATCAATAATAACAGACATTTAATGGACTTTGTGTGTAATTATTACAGCATTTTCTAATAGACTCAAGGCATGGAGTGATCATATGTGTAAAACAAAAGCAGAGAAATTGAGTACAAATTATATGGATCTACTTTGCCTCTTGACTCAAATTTAGCAATTTAATCACCTGTCCTGTTTTCTTGGGGACCCTTTTTGCAGAC